CTGCTGGCTTGCCAAAACTTCACAAAGTGGCCACTTCACTGGGCAACACCCCAAGAGCACGGCAGTGCCCGGGGTCAGCGCGGGCCTCCCCTGCTCCTGGGGTACAGCTGCGTACAGTCATGTCATGCAGCAAGTAGCCCTGTTTTGGGACTCCTTTGCAGGGGTGCACATCTGCATGGGGTCATCTGGCACCTCTCCTTTCCCCTCCCTTTACCCTATCCCCAGGATCTCACCCATGCAGATTTCCCACCGCTCGTGCTCTTCTAGGCTTTCTTCAAAATGCTTCCTTGGGTGATTCTGAAATCTCCTGAGGCAGCTGCATTCCAGAGATTTCCTTTCCTGCGCAATGTCCATTCCCTGGTGGGATCCACATGGGTCATTTCTGAGGACAGTGGCAGATCCATCACACCACTGGGTTTCCTGCTGTCCTATCCTGAGGCCAATTTAATAATAGGGGGTTATTTGGGACTGGTTCTTTACCAAAGCAGTGAATACTGTTCTTCAAGCTGGGGGGCCAGCAAGTGACACCAAAGACCTTTCACTCCCAGATCTGTTGCTGCCGCTTCAGGTATTGCCCGGAAGGGAAACCAGTTGCCCCCAGCTTACCTAGTAAACCATGAACAACAAAGGTGGGAAACTAACACTCCCGCGGCACAGCCTGTTGCCACATCGACTCAGCCTGGACCAGTGACTTGGACCATTTCACTGCTGAGATCCCCTGCAGGAAGGATAATACTTTATGTATGTTGTCAGAATGCCTTTTAGCAATAGCAGGATACTCTCTGCTCCGAGCGGAGGAGGATACATACCAAGCCTTAAGCTGTTCCAGGCTTCACAGCACAGCAGACAGCAAAATACATGTGGCTGCACTGGGACACGTTGTTTTCAAATCCCTGTGTGATAGCACTAAATGGCATAAATCAGAATTACCTGTCACAAATCATATTCCTCCGTGGCCATTTCTTCATCCAGGCTGAACGGCAGCCCAGACTCTCTGAGGCAGTGGTTGCACTAGAAAGAAGGCAAAGCAGTAGCAATCCAGGAGATGAGGAGAAGGTAAAAAAGCATTGATGCTTGAAAAAAATGTTGAAATGCATCCCACTAGAAAGTTGTGCCGAGGTTGTTTTAGGGCAGGAACATGAGGGGCTGTCGTGGTTTAACCCCAGCCAGCAAGCAAGCACCACGCAGCCGCTCACTCACTCCCCCCCCTCAGTGGGATGGGGGAGAGAATCGGGAAAAAAAGTAAAACTCATGGGTTGAGATAAACAGTTTAATAAGACAGAAGGGAAGAAAATAATAATAATGATAATACTACTAATAATAATAAAAAGACAGTAATAATAATAAGAGAATTGGAATATACAACACAAGTGATGTACAATGTAGTTGCCACCACTCATTGACCGATGCCCAGTTAGTTCCCAAGCAGCAATCCGCGCCCCCCCCCCAGCCCCACTCCCCCCAGTTTATATACTGGGCATGACGTCGCATGGTATGGAATACCCCTTTGGGCAGTTTGGGTCAGCTGCCCTGGCTGTGTCCCCTCCCAACTTCTTGTGCCCCTCCAGCCTTCTTGCTGGCTGGGCATCAGAAGCTGAAAATTCCTTGACTTAGTATAAACACTACTTAGCAACAACTGAAAACATCAGTGTGTTATCAACATTCTTCTCATCCTAAATCCAAAACATAACACTATACCAGCTACCAGAAAGAAAATTAACTCTATCCCAGCCAAAACCAGGACAGGGGCTTTCCTTCTTCCTGAGAGCCTGGAACTGGCTCCAAGAGCTGCTCTCTTTAGCATCAGTTTCAAGAGTCAACATTTTGGCTTTTCTGCCTGAAGAAGTGGAGGACTCTGCCCTGATGTGCACCTTCTGCACTCCCAGGGTGTCCAGTCTTCCTCTAAAACAGTCTGCAATACTTACAAGAGCTTTCAGTTAAAGCTCAGCCCTTCCCCAGGGAACCTGTGGAGCGAGGTCAGCGGCACATCCTCCTGGAAGGAGGCAACGTCCGTCCATGCTGCTGAATACTTCACATTCCTCCCAGACACCAATCCAGACTCGAAGATGCACTGGAAACCTGACACAAAGGTTACTCAGTGTCAGACATTTGCCTCAGGGAGCAATTCTGACCAGCAACAAGTCACGTCAAAACCTCTGTCCAGACCTCACCTCCAGATCCAAGCCATATCTCAACCAGCCTCAACAGCCTAAATGTGGGGAGTCACGACCTGGGCACTCTGCCTGCTTTGGAGACTTACCCTTTGGCTCGATATCCCAGGCGCTGAGCTATTGCCACCTTTGGTATTTGAAGGCATTTTTACTAATTTATCTCCACAGCTCAGGCTTCTGTTGTGGTGCCGTCCTCTCTGGAAGTCTCTGCCTGCCTTGATTTAAGTAAGTAACTCACTGCAAGACACATCTCATCAGAGTTGTCTTAAAATGTAGGTGTTGGTTTCTTTTCACCCTCCAGTTTGGGTGAAGTCAACATGCCCATTCTCCTTCGGTATGTGAGCCGGTTAGCAGTGAAAAGCGGTGTGGCTTGGACTTATCACCACTGCACGGTTTCTAGGCACTGTGCTCTGGTAACTTAACAACCCTGCCTACATCCTATGGGTCTAATAAGTATTTCCCATATCTGAGGTCAAGCTATTACGAGCAGATTTTGTAGAGTTCAGCACCAACATGTCCTACTGAGAACAAAAGGGGTTGCTGAAAAATCAAGCCAGAAGTAATTTGTCCATGATCATGAGGTTCAGGGCTGGCTGGGATCAGAGTGCCAGAGCTCATAGCTACTACCGAAGTCCTGCTGCTCCACCATTTGGGGGTCAGAGGCTGAGATTAGCCTTATTTTTGGAAGGAAGAAGTCCTGTTCTTAGCTGGAGTTAAGCATACAGCAATCAGGCCAACTTCATCAATTTATTTCGTTCTCCCTGTCTCACTCCTCATTGACTTGTTCCCACACTTTTTGGCAGCCTCTAACACCGTTTTCATTTTTGCCCTCAGACTGATGTGCTGCTTCTATGCAGAGATAAGCTCATGTAAGAGAGGCTTAGGCAGATAGAAAACCAAAAATCCAAGGTCTCTATTTCAAGCATTATTGAAATAGATTCTGGTACCACTTGCTTCTTAGGACAATAAATCATTTATGTATGTCAAAACCAAAAGAAAACCCTGAAGTGCTGAGTTTCCCCTTTCTATGATCATAATTATTAAAAAGAAGGTACCATTTGCCATCTGCTTCTGATGACACCTACGCCCAGGCAGCCTTTCCACCTGCCCCAGAGTTTGTCCTGGGGTGCTGCTGGGCTTTGCTCACTACTGCTAATGAGCTAATGACAACTACTGTTGTCATTCTGCAGGGTTATGGGAAGATGCAGCAACACGAAGTTTTTCAAATCCAGGTTTCAGAAAGAAATAAGAGACACATATCTCTCTAGTCTGTTGGGGGAAGGAATGAAAAATAAATTGTTCTGGTGACATGCAGTTGCTGGCTATTAATTCCTTGGAGGATTTTGCATTGCTTCCAAGGCAAACATAAAATTAGCTGTTGGAGTAATAGTGTAGTGTGGGATACAGATCTAGAGGTTCTTGTAACACAGATGTTATTTATTTAGCCAGTGCAGAGCAAATCTACTTACAGATGTAATTTTGTGTTTGTATGTTCACCGTGATGTCTAGCTGCCCAGTAGTCCCACACTGTAACTGGAGAAGGCAGGGATCCTGCCTTCGTGGGCCAAGCCCCCAGCTCGCAGGCAGGGATGGGTACCCCCATACCCACCCCTGCTCGAGCAGGTGCCCCGTGAGGGTGCCAGCCCTTTAGGTGCAGCCACTTGTCAACATGTAGAGGTGAGCAGGGCAAAAAGCTGCGAGAAGGCAAGTGGATAACAGGTCTCAGTCGCCTGAAACCTTCCTGGTGATTCACCCAGCTGCAGGGGCTGTCCATCCCAGCTGCACCAGTCGGTGGTGGTGCTTGGAAGAAATGCCGCTGCTGTAAGAATGCCGCTATTTTGTAAAAGCATTTTCAGGACATTCCAGTGCCAGATATCCAGACGTGCTAATGCAAAATGCATTAGCCCAAGCAGCAGGAGCTCCGGGGCTGCTGGCGCCATTGAGTTCCACTCATTTCATCTTTATTATAAATACTGCATTGTCGTCTCATTCTTTTCTCTCATCCTCTCTTTAGAAAAGAATTATAAGGCTCTAGTTGACTGGTCCCTTTGACTTAGTACAGTTGTTAAACCACAGGCAGTAAATACCTCTTTCAATTGTTTAAGGCGGATGTATTTATTTCATTGGAACAACTGAATGAAATCTGTAAGAGCTGAAGAATCCCCCCTTCCGCAGCAGCTCTGCTTTTCTACCTCCGAGCTGAATGCAAAGGAAACTCCTCCTAAACCTGCCGTGTGAAATCAGCCCACCTTCGGGCTCGCTCCGGCTCTCAGCTTAGTTTTTTGTGGTTCAAGAAGTATTCCAGCCTAGAAAGACTCACCGCCCTCTTGTAAATAGTGATCTTTCGCCAGGCAGATCTCAGCTGACAAATGTTAATTGTTATGCAAACTATCCAGAAGATGAGCTCTCCTCCCAGGACTGAAGGGCAGCCACCTCCCAGATGAAACAAGGCAGCTGTTTAAACAGTGCGGGGCTGCTCTGCCCCGGCTGCCAGAGCAGGGGGAGAGCCGAGCGGGGCGAGCGGAGCTGGAGCTGTGCCATGCCACCATGGTTAACACCCCCGCTTTTGTGGAGAAAACCTCCACAATGCAACTCGAGAGCTTTAACCGACCCCACGCCATCAGGAAAAATGATGCTACGTTTCAGCGGAAACCAGATATAAAAATTGTTTCTTTGGGCTCGTGCAGTGGGATGCTCCCCCCCTGCAACTGGGGAAAAAGAATTCTGGTCGTTGCGGCAGGAAAGGGGTGGGAGAGCGATGCTCTGCCAGCCCAGAGGATTTGACAGGGACCAGGGATGCTGAAAATGCCATGCGAGCCTTGTTCTTACCCGGAGGTGGGTCGATGCCCCGGGCAGGCACTGCTGCTGGGCCGCGGCTGCCGCTGGAGTCCCCCAGGGAGCCGGGAACCATCTCCCCTTGCTTGGGAAAGGCACGTTCCTGCTCGATTGATGCTGCTCATAGCTCCACCGTAGGCAACAGCTGAAGGGCAATTTGAACGTGCTATCAGCTCATTTGTCCTTCCAGTCCCATCTAGTCGCTGCTCCTTCCCTCCTCAGCTGCTCTTGGTGCAGGGCTGCTCTGCCCAGTGCAGGGTCTTTGGGATCACTGTGAAGCATGTGAGTCACCCCAGAAAGACAGAGGGACTCACCACGGCCGCTCATAAAAACCGTCCTGACAGGGCCGGTGGGAATTCATCTGAGTAGCAAGACTCGCTCTTTGCCTGCGCTTGTCCAGCCCTCGGAGAGCACGGCCTCGGCGAGAAGGAGGTGGCTCATCGGAGCGCCGGGAGAGCAAGCTCCCACTTTCTGCTCTTACGCTGAATCTGTTGGACCAGGCTGGCTGCAGAGAAAATTTATGTTTCAAGCCCTGTATGAGACATGCATAGAGCCCACTAGTGGGTGTTGCCAAGTTCTATCTGTATCAGCCACATCCTTGCTCTTCTCAGGTAAAAAAAAACACCTTTCTGGCCATCAGAGAACATGGAAAAACATGTCTTTCCCGGAGGTTGCTTAGGAAAGTTTAAAGGGGTTGCTGTGCTTCCCGACCACTATATGGACCAGCGTCTACTTCTATATGTGGCGGTGCTGAATTTCTGAGCACTGTATTTATCCAGGGCATCATGCCACCCTGTAATCCTTGTAACTGGTTTTTTTTTTTTAGTTCGTTGGTTTTGGGGGCAGGGGGGCTTAATTTTTTAAGCTAGCTTTGTGTTACTGCAGCAGGGAACTTCAGGGTTGTTTTTAAATAAAATAATTCATCCCACCTGTACCTGCATAGTCTTCAGCTCTGTAGGACTTCATGACTTTGACCCAGTGCATTTTGAGATGAAAATACATAGAAGGGGAGAATGGAGGAAGGACTACGATTTGAACATTCAGGCAACCAGGAAGAGTTGTCACTGATTCTTACTTTCTTTAAATTTAATAGCAACATTTTCATTGATTTCAGTGGCAGCAGGGCTGCAGTCTACTTAAAAGGGAAAAAAAAAGGCATTTGACCCAACAAATCTGTTCCAACCTCACATCTCCTTCCCAGCATCAGTTCCCAGTATCTGGCTGAGCAAAACAGCCATGTGCTATCTCCATGCTCCACTTTTCCCTTCAACAGCTCTGTCTGGCAACTTGTTTTACACAATATGGCAAAACTCCTTCCCCAAAGGGCCATAAAGGCATGGATTCAGTTGCCAGGGAAGGCCACTGATTCCTCTCAGCAAGGGCACTTGGCTCAGCTCACAGTGGTTGTTTTCATGTGAGACTGGGCTGATAAGGGGATTTCCTTTCAAGTGGAAAAGCATAAACTATATTTATATGCAGATAATTTCCTATTTGTTGGGTTTAGCGTAACAGGCTGAATTTCTGGCCTGTCTTTCCAGTGCTCTCCGACCACATGAAACACATTCACAGTTGTCTGGGTGGGAGATGTTTTGCCAGAAGCTGGAGAGATGCCACAGTACAGCTGGCTGTGGAAGGCAGAGGTGGAAGGACACGACCGGGCTTCTTTACTCTGCTTTTTCTAGAAGGAGGTAACAGAGACCACAGCACCTGCTCAGCATTTGCTACTGTGTTCATTACAGGAGCTTATGCCACTGATCTATCATTTTATCTGGGCAAACTATATATATTTTGATAAAAAGATTTTAAAAAGAAACCCCTGAAGTGTAGCCTTCCTTCAGGACTTAGTGATTTTGCAGGCAAGTAGGACCATGCTCAGGTAAGGAGCAGGAGAGATTGAACTACATTAGAGGAAAGATTTACTGAAAAAGCTGGTAGAAGATTCTCAAACTGTTCATGCCCAGGAGGAGGGGAAGATCGAACCAGCAGTACTTCATGTTTGTCTGGGAAACCTATCCCATTCCTCTCTGCAGGGGTTTCCAGAAGATGAGACCCCAGTTCACAGCAAACTGATAATTATTAGTCTTCTCTGTATCATTTTAGAGTTGCAGAGCACCTCAGGATCCCTCCCTGCAGGAATTCTTCATGTTTATTATGTTATCTGGGGGTTTTATCTTGCATTCACTTTAGTGGCTGCCATGGGAGTATGCTCTTGAGGTTTAAATAGTAAGCTTTTATTTAAATGTATATTCCTCTAATGTTATACATCTGGTTTTGTTTAAAACCAGATGTATAACATTAGAGGAATATACATGTTACTCATTTTAGAAATCCTTTGTTTACTGGCTCCTTTATAACAGGTCCACCTAAGTCTCAGGCTGCAGATCTTATGAGCAGCTCCACCTGAGCCAGTGTGCTTTCAAACATCTGACCTCTTCCAGTTTCAGCCTCCTGGGAACTCGTGTGTGGCAGATCAATGCACATTAAAGTTTTGCAGAGGAACTTCTCAAGGTCACCTTTGCTTTATACTCAAAAAGTCCAGCAAACAATAAAAAACATCTCTGAAAAAAAAATAAACACCTGAAAGCCTTCCCCTTTCTGGGTTTACTTAGTGCTTCTTGAGTCCTTTGAGGTTTGGACCAGTGTCTTTCAAGAAACAGGACGTAGCTCTGGCCCACTTGTCTCCGCACAGTCTTCTAGTTCTAGACAAAGTCTTTTTGTTTTGGGAGTACTGTCTGTCCCTTCTGCAGTAGAATCTGATCTCTGTGTATCTCTCAGTTTTGGAGATTTTCTGTTCTTTTTTTCAAGTAGAAGAGACACGTGAAAAGCCAAGTGCTCCGAGGACAGTGCTGATGGTTCTTGATGCCTTGAGTTGGAGCTGAGATCATTCTTCTGCTGTGAAATGGCCATTAATCAGCACTGAAAGTTAAAGTGAATAGAAGCAGAGTTTTGAATTCAAATGGAATTTGTGCAGACATAGGCAGGTCCCCTGGGCCGTGTGTGTGTATGCATATATAAACACATACGTATGTACTTATGTATGTCTGCATTTATACACACACAAACATGAATGAAAAAATATATATATGCTGCATTCCAGAAAGAAAGGTAAGCCTCAATATAAAAAGTAATACCAGAAAAAATCCAGTTACCATCACAGAAGATACCATTTTCCTAGTCCTGCCCACTAGAACTGCGTCACCCTAACTGCACAATACTCACATCACATAAGAAATTAAATGGTGCAAAACAGCAATATTTTTTTCAGCTTTTGGGTTTCAGGGAAACTTTCCGCTCTAGAGTTTCTCAGCTTGAGAAAATGTTAAACTGCACCGTAGATTCCTGTACCTTGTGCAACCATGCGAACTACAGTCTAGTTTTCCCATGCCCAGCTCGATATACAGCTTTCATCTTTCTCCTACTTAACCACGTCCTGGTGTGAGACGATACAATATTGAGAAACACTTCAAACTACAGTAGTAGTAACACAAATCTTTTGTTTTATCATTAAGCGGAATGAATCCCTGATGACTCAAGAGAACTCCACAGAAGCCTGTGTATGCAAAAAGAGAGGCTGGTTATGGTAAGCAAAGTTAGAGGTATGGGTATAGTCAACATGCACATTCACGCAATGAGTAAACACCCAGTATGGTGGAGATTTTGGTGAGGGACACTTCCCTCTCACCTGTACCAGAGACAAAGGGATAATATCCATCACCATTTATGAGATCTCAGGATGGAGGGATGTAAAAATATCAATGCTCATCCATTTGAGGCTGCATATGGACCCTGACTGAGCTACAGCAGAGACTGAAGTCTTTCACCTTTAGCATGGAAGATTGCCAACGGAAAGTCAAGTGTATTGTGCCAGGTGAATGTTTCTTGTCCCTTTTCACTACTGGTGAAAAGTTCTTTTGCAGAGAGGAGTGGGCAGGTCCTAACGGTGAGAGCTGGCTCGTGTAAATGCCGTGAGGAGCTGGGGACAAGCATGGATCCAGAGGTCTGCACAGGGAGAGCAGGAAAGGGAGGTGGCATTCCACAGAGCTCTTTGAAATAGGCAATGGAAATCCCAGCAGTAGGACCAAGATGGCCACATTCAGGCAATCAGAACAAGCATAGGAGCAGAAACAGGTCCAGCCACAGCGTTTGACCCCTTCCTTTCTGAGGACAGCAAGTTCGACTCTTCTGCATTGACATCTGCCGAAAACAGGTTTCTTTCCTAATGTCTCCAGTCCAAGAAACCAGTCTACAAAATGCCAGTGCTCATCTTCCATGGGAGGTAGATCAGTCCAGCTGTCAATTAAAAGCACTCGTTGAAGGTGAGCTGTAGATAAATTAATCTAATAGGAAAGCTCCATAGGTCAACAGCTTCCTGCCAGGGATGGGGGAATGTCACAGCACATTGCTTGATGGTATTGCACATGATGGTAATACTGCCCGTCATCACCTGGAGGCAATGTCCCTGGATATGTTAATGACACCTTTGCCTGCAATCTGCCTGGTGCTGTGGTTCATCATGTTTGAGCTGAAGTTTTGTTTCTGTAATGACCAAAGGTCTTGTGCTACTGAAATGCCCACATGAGCACATCATACGAGCATTCTGGATGGCTGTCTCTACGCTTGGAAAGCATCTCCTCATACACCAGAAAAGCAATTGTCACACACCCAAGAGGAGATAAGGGTGGGTTGTTCTGTAGACAGTACTATATGGAACCAAGATTACAAGTGGAGAAGGTGCAGTCTGACACGGGGCATTACCAAGATACAATGTACGGCTGGAGATCTTCACGAAGGTCAGCAGGATTTGGCAGTAGTTGTTGGCTAAACCTCCAGGGACGAGTGTGTCCTGTGCACTCTGCAGTCTGCTCCAGGGCCAAAAGTGCCAGCCATGGAGCTGGAGTTGCTCCAAGGACCACACAGACTGAAGAGGTGGACTCTGACCATTCACAGTAAAGTCCTGCCCTCTGAAGCAGAGATGGCCCAAGATGACGGAAGATCAGTTCATTAACCAGATATCCAAATAAGGAGGAATAAAAATTTCCTGTCACCTCTGATAAGATGCAAAGGCAGAAGAATGTC